GTCTTTAGAATTCATGCAGAATAACTAAGCAATGAGGAGATGATAGAGACTAGGCCTTGGCGGATTGTGCTCCTAAAAGTGGCATATTATCCTACTAGCGGTGCTCGAAATTTTGCCAAATTATGCCAAAATTTTGCCAGAATTCCCAAATTATGCTCCTGATTTCCGAAATTATGCTCACAAATGACGTAGATTCTCTACATATAAGCGCGCAATAATGACACCAAATTATGATGTTTTTCAAATAAACTGTTGTTGTAAATTTAGAATATAGTACTATCTTGATTTAACTAACTCAAACTATAGCGAACTACACCGTTCAAAGTGTCAAGCCACTAAGTAAATCAACTTGTCTTGGCAGTTCTGAGTTCTTTCAGCACCAGTAATTGCTTGAATAAACATGGATAAGAATAGTATACACAAGTCAACATCAGCACTTATATTATTGTCAGTACTGCAACATTACGCTGGCCTGGAGATAGTCTGCCAGAGCGCCGTCCTGCTGATCGCTAAATGCCGCCGAGAGTAGGGAGAAGGCTTCCAAAGCTGCAGCAGAGAAAGGCTGCACCAATAGAACCTGCTTCCCTGCGGCTGATTTAATTTTTTATTTTTGTAGGTAAATACACCATATTTACTAAATTTTATGAATTTATGCTCCAAAGAGTGCTAAATTTGCTAATTAGAGAGTTTAAGCAACTCACGACGACGCCGTCGAAGTGGTCGACCGGAAGTAAAAATGCACTATTGGCGTCTACTGCGCATGCGAAAGACTAAACTTGAGTCGTCGTTCAGCAACCTCGTCCCCAGGGTCTTCTCGCTTTCCAATATGGCGGCGGCAGGAGAGAAGACCCTGGCACACAGCAGAAATCACGTGACTGATTTGTCCACGGAGAGTGGAAATTTATTCAAAATGGCGGCCAAGATAAAGAGTGAGAGGATCTGGGTACGAGGTCTTGAGACTGGTGAAAAACAAACAAAATGGCGGCAAAGGCAGAACTCAAAAGAAGCTAAAAATATGAACGAATACACTTACAAGCCACAGGAATACGGTAGAATGATATAGCGATCTTATTTTCTGTTCAATGACCTTCATTTGTTTTAAGCCTGAAAGTTCTAGCGCACACGGCTGTCTACAACAATTTCTCGATACCGACCTTTTTTACCGTTTTCTTTTTTTTTGCCCGTACCCTGAGCGCCAGAGGTTCAGGTTTCTTCTTTCGTGAAAGGGGGGAGCTTTTTCTAACCGTGAGCGCAATTTATTTCTTCATGTTAGGAATTTCGAGAACAGACCTCTGAAGCCAGGGAATTTTCTGTCATGACGCTCTAAGACCTCTTCCGCTCCGAAATTCAACTAAGCATTAAATTGAGTCGCAGACACTTTAAGCTGATAAGTTATCGTCAGTTTTGTTACAGATCTTCATGAGGCTTTTGACTATTGTTTTCTATCTGCACAAATTTTAACTGAACTCTGATATGTAAAAAACAATTTTTTTTTTGAAAAACAAGAACCAGAGAACACTATTTTGTTAATATAATTTGAGGAAACTTTGGTTGAAAATTAAACAGTTCCTTGGTCAGTTTGGATATTTTGTCACTTGAACTGGTACAGGTAATAAAATTATTGTCAATCTTCATCTACTTCACAGTTTTTAGACTTTGTTATTGGCTTTTGATATCTAACCCCGTTCACAGTGCTTCCGGGCAATAGAGATAGGGGCCTTATTTAATCTAGCAAAGACGATGGTATTAGTTCCCCCAAAAATGCCAAGTGAAAAAAAGCCCAAGTACAAGAAGGTTGGAGGTCAAGCAGCTGAGGATCAAAAAACAAATCCGAACTTCCAGTTGGTGAATAAATCATCCTGGATCGGTCCACAGAAAGCTTTACAGTTTTCCTTGATTTATACAGTCTCTTATTTATTAGTGAAGAATAAGAAAAGGGAGGAAGGTGGGATGGGGGTTAAAAAAGACGGGGGCTTATTGTTAAAACTTTCTTTCACTGAAAAGGAGGGCTTATTTGAGAGAGGAGGCCTTAATAGAGGATTTAAGATGTTGTTATTATTGGTTTTTTTTTTTTTCTCTCAGATGTAAAAAAAAGCATTAACCCCTTTTTAATAGCTAGCAAAAGGTGAAGAGTTTTTCCATTGTTTCTAATATAGCAATCCAAAATGTATTCTCCACTTTGAAATAGATTTGATTTTTAGAGCAAAAACTTTCTTAATCCCTGACTTTGGTTGATTTGACATATTACTTGGGGCTGCACTTTGCCATGTCAATGTGCAAATTGACTAAAGGCTAGACTCCAGTTGTTCAAAAATTTGATAGTCCTATCTGAGTCATGTGCGCAGTAAAAGTTCCTATCTCATTTGGAGATAATAGATGTTTTAAGTCAAACATGCTTTGCTCGTCAGATGGGCCCTTTCGTACTCTAATTGAGACATGACTTGGTAGTGGTGTGCTGATTATCGATCATAATCTATAAAGCATCAGAAACCTAAAGCAAAGTGAGTATTGCTTATACAAATGTTCAGTTGATTGTTGTGGAAAATTCACAAAAACATTGTTGACAAATAAGGACATTAATACACCTGTGTTGTCTTTTTGATGGGGTCTTAATTTAGTTTATATGATGTTTAGTTGGTTTAACTATGTGACAGATAAGCCTCTGCTTGCAGGGTAGGTTTTTTGTTTTGTTCACTTACAAAATTATTTTCAGTGTTAAAAGTGGCACACAGGGGGCACAAAACTATAATCTACTATAATCGATTATCAGTTTAATAGTTGGGTTAATCTGATTATTTCTGACGATATGATTATAATACAGACACTATTACTAAGACTAACCAACACCTTAAAGTAGACTTCGAAAGTATTTAAGCCAGCACATCTAACACCTGCAACCTCACACCACAACACCTAAACAAGCTAAAAGCCTTGCCTTGTCCCTGTGTGGCATTTCCCAAGGCCTTAATTCTTGGTCAATTCATTTCGGCAAACTGGAGGGAAACTGTTTCACTATTTCGCTTGGGACCACGTGACCTAAAACTCATTGGCCATGACTAGGCAACTAAAAGCTCACTATGCTAATGGGGACTCTGGCACAAAACACTTCAAAAGCCTTTGCATCCCGACATGAAAAATCCCATGATCGAGATGCTCCAGGCCCCTTCCGCTCTTGTTTATTCAGTGGATAGTGATATATGCACCCTTTGAAGTAGTTTATTTTTTTTAAATCCAAGTTTTAGAACTGAATTATAGCTGCTTCACAATCATACCCAGCTGGTGTTGGAATACTACAGTACCAGCCACTTTTTCACCTGGTCCACAAACCCCCTTTTCAAGGATATAGTGACAAGAACAACATGCACACTTAGCCTACAGTAATTAGAAGCTCAATAGACAGGTTTTAGTTTGACAGAAAACGTATTTATCTTGGGGTCACTGTCACCCCATGTCTGGAATCTGGGAAATTTTTCTCTTGGAATCTGGAATAAAGGTCCTAAAGTACTCTGGATCCCACTTATAACTGGAATCCAGAATCCATGTTCCACCGACAAAGAATCCAGAATGCAGTATCCATGGCGCAAAATTGAGAATCCAAGACTGTCAGATTTCCTTGAATGGGCTGATCACTGTTTTCAACTTGATAAAATAAAAGACATCATGTGCTTTCATTTATTTTATTTTTGCAACTAGAAAGAAATCCCACAAGCTTCAATACATCAATATGTAAGTTTTTCATTTCTGAGAAAGGAAACAGTTTATTTTCCCAATGTCTCTGTATTTAGCTGTATTTTACTACCAATGAAATGAGCAAATAATAATAAATTATCATTATTGTGACACTAAAAACTGAATAAATGAAAAGTCAGGATTAAAAATATCAAATGATAGCGACACTATGTTTGGCTTCAATTTTTAGTTTTGTTTCGACATCTGCCTCTCTCGCTCCTGGTCCCCCTTCAAAATCACAGTGGAAAAATTAAAAGAAGGCCAGGTTAGGCCCATGAATGTTACGATCAAATGAAAAGAATGTTTCACTTGACAAAAAACTGCTGAGACAAAGCGCAGATTATGCAAGATTTCCGTACAACCCCATACATTAATAATATTATGCATACAGCTTTTGTTCAAAGAAAACAAAAGGCAGAACAATACTACACCTTTGCAACGGGCAGCTAAATTTATTGATAAGCTGAAGCCTTGCAAGTATTCTTTCACAAATCGGGAATTAAAGAAACAAATCTTTAGTAATTTTCGGAACACACAAACCAAATAGCACGAGTAACAGAAATACCTCTACGCGTTATAATATTCCCAGCGATTACCAGATATCACTATATTCGAATCTTTGCCTTCCAACGGTACAGTCACAGTTTTCCGAACAATCAGACCTGATTTCTGTCCACCTTGTGCCAGGGTCTTCTCTCCTGCCGCCGCCATATTGGAAAGCGAGAAGACCCTGGGGACGAGGTTGGTCGTTCAGCAGTGGACGACTGGCGACGCGTGTTTCAGAAGTCGTCTTCGGTAGGTGAGTATTTATTCACTTTTTTTGCCTTTTGTCGAACATGCCGTGGAAGCACAATCACATTTCAGTGTTTCTGATGATTTTTTGAAATCAAAGATATCTTTCTGACAGTGGTTGACGAAATTGGAGCTGTTTACTCATTGAAGAACTTTCTCCTCTTTTATAGTCCGTGTATAGTCATGGCGTCTCCTCTGAAATCACGACCGCTGAAAAAGCAACGTAAGCACCTTCTATTGATTTTTATGTTCATATGGTCTCAGACCGAATATTCCAGGAAAAGCGATGTCCTCCAACGGAGCCTTGAACTAGGTTTTAGGTTGCTATGTAAGTTATGGCTTGGTCTAGTTTTGGCGGGCACAAGTAAGCTAATGTTATTATGACTATTATTATCATCGTCATTATTATTATCACATTTGTTTTCTTTGCAAGTAAGTTTGTTTAGTACAGGCTATTTTTCTTCTCTTGTAATTATAGGAACTTACCTGCCTCTAAATGGACTAAAGAACATGATGTGCTCTTAGCCAGAGAGATGCTAACGGTTGAGCCATATAAATGTAAGAACAGAAGTCGTGAGAGTGGCCAGGCGTGGGATCTCATTGCAGCAAACCTAAATTCTGTCCATGCACCACGTTTCCGAGTGAGTCAAAAATCTGTAAGGGACAGGGCCAGGATCCTGCTAAAGAACTTTAAATTGAAAATAAGAGAAGAAGAAAAAGCTTCAGGAATCAAAGTAGAAGAACTTTCCGAATTAGACCTTGCCTTAGAAGAGATAATAGAAAAAGAAAAGGCTGCCAATGCGCAGCTAGATCTTGAGGAATCAGTGAGAAAGAATGAATTGCAAGACAAGGCAAATGCAGAAGAAATGCGCCTTCAAGCTATGGAAAAACTTGGAGAGAGCAAGAAGCGCAAAGAAGCTTCAGGGCTTACAGCTGGAGATCAGAAGAAAAAGAAGGCAAGACGTAGTGGATCAGACACCCTTGACTTTATGAGAGAAAAAATGGAAAAAGACAGGACAATGACGCAAGAGGAAATGGCACAAAGACGGTCAGAGCAGCAAAAAATGCTAGAACAACAGAACAATGTGTTGAACCAGATGCAACTACAACAGGTTAATCAACGACAGCAGATGCAAGACATGTTCTCAGCATTCATGCAACAAAGTCAACTGCAAAACCAAACTATGTTGGCCATTGTTGAAAAGTTTACTAAAAAAGACTGAATCATAGGCAGCGCTAACTAAAAAGATACCTTGTGCTCCACTATAGATATGTACTTACACCTTGTGCATTTTGTGTTCCTTGCACAAAAACTGTTACAGATTTTTGCAAGTTATTAGTTGTGTTGTAAGGCGTAAGACGATAATAATTCTTGTTACATAGCATGGGGTACAGATGATTGACACAATAAAGTGTAGTTGTTTTCTATGATGATTATTGACTCATAACAAATGACCAGTTTTGTACAGTTTGCTATTGTTCGGTTGTCATTTGTTGGACATTTTTGTGCAAGATATCAGTAGTATTGTCCGGGGAGGGGGGGATTTTTTTCGGGGTGTGTTGATTCAAGTAAAGATTTGTTTCTATATTCAAATCAAACTGAAGATTTGTGGTAGTGCCTGCGTATCCTGGCTTCTTAATGTTTTATTAAATTTTTTGTGTTTTTTCCTTTAATGCTTTCTGGAATTTTCAAGGTTGGGAAATTCGGCATGGGATATTTTTTAGGGTTAGTTTTTGGCCCAGGGATTTTTTCGGGTTCTGAGTTTTACCCTCATTCAACCATCCCTGTCATTTGACATCTGGAGTACCCCCCCCCCCCCGGATTGTATTATTAGACTTTTTTGTGACTTAGAGGCAAGTATTCTTGTTATATTGCAGAGGCAACGGATGATGTACAATAGAGTATAGTTGTTTTTTATCACATTTATTAGCTCATGACAAATGACCAGACTCAATTGTTCAAAAAGTGGATTGTGCTATCCACTGGATAATGCAATTCGATTCCCTAACAGCTATCAACTGGTGAAAAGTACTATCCAACTTTGGAACAACTGGGGGGCAGTTCTTTATAGTTTTGCTGTTGTTACATTGTTTAGTACCAGCTTGTAATTTGTTGGACATTAAAGATTTTTTATTAAACCATACTTGACACTACAGGAATCCATTTGATTGAAAATGTTGTCATGTTTAGGCAAAGTAATCCTCAAGGCTTGGAGGCTGAATATCAAAAAACTTTGATGTGCTATTAATATTGCCATACAGGCATGTGAGAGCATTGCGAAGGAGACCTGATACAATGTACATTTTGCCTACACTGCTTAAGCCAACCTTGAGATTTTTCTTAAAATCCATGAACTTAAAATAATTGATGATGTCATTGAAAAGCCATTCAACAGAAATTCTAACTTCACTCATAGACTTATTAAACTGCTGCATCTGAGGAGTTAAGTAGGCATTCTTGAATGGGCCCTGCAAATGCACCCTTAATGGGTACGCAGGGTCCCCATAGACACAGAGAGGCTGCCCAGTGGGTGATATTGCATTCCGCTGTAGTTCTCTTAGCAGGTCAGAGTCTGTTAACATGCTTGCATCATGCTTCCTTCCTTCTTTACAGTGGTGATAAACATGAAAGACAAAAGGTTTTTACATCATAGATTATGCTTTTCTTAACAAAAAATTATCACGTAATTATTTGTGTTTGATTGTGAAGGGAGTAGTAGGCATGTTCATAAAACCATAGGTGACTCACTTGCTGGGTAGGTAATCACAAAACAGTACTCTAAACAATCTGTTACCTTTTCCCCCAGTGATTGCATTCTTAAAGGACTCTTATTCGCTAGTTTCTAACTGAAAATTAAAATTGCTATTGAAAGCAAACCAAAATGGAGATGAAGATGCAGAAAGGGGTGTATAGGTGGGACTTGCCAAAATTATCTGGTAAACACCTGAATCAAAATAACATTTAATTTACCTTCATATTCTCCCCTCCCTAAAGTGTACATGTGATTATTTCTTACCAACTGGGCCATACATGTTTGCAATGAGGCCATTTGGCAGTGTAACGGATTGAAATTTGATGCCATGGATTCTTTTGTGGCCGTTGTACATCACTCTTTGTCGTTCACCAGGTTTAGAAATTGCTCTCACAGTCCCATCGATGAACCCGAAACAATTATCTAAGGCTGCTCCTTTGGCTGAAATCGCATCTGCATACATTTGTAAGGAAACGGGGTTCAAGATACCGTTATTCCAGTTGGTTATCTTGCGGTGGTGGGTATCGTATATGTAGTCTGTAACTTTGTTGGTAATCATGCATAGGACAGGTACTGGTCTGCCAAAACGATAAATAAGATCTGAAAATCTACAAGGGTAAGCCAGCCTTTTCAGGAGCAAGCAGAGTCCTTCCGTTCCAGTGAACACTGATCTCTGGTCGCACTTCAAGAGAGCAGGAATCTGTAGCACCTCTTCTAGTTGCAGAATATGTCGCTTCTCAAAGCGAAATTCTGCAATGCACTCAGCTTCGTCGATATCATCGAGGTTGAACTGATCATATGAATCATAGGGAAATTCAAGGTTTTCAGACGTATTTAAATCATATAAAGCGAGGAATTCCATTTCATCCAGCCATCCTTCGCTGTATCCCAGCAGTAAAGCTTCTCGAGTATTCCTTAGGGATTCCATTCTAACTGGGGAGAGCGGCAGAGAAAGCAGAAAAATTGCTTCGTCGACGCGTCGTCGACAAGTTTGCTTAGTTTTGTTTTTCCCGCCAAAAGACGTCGACCTCGACCCAGGTTGTGGCGCGCTTGGCGGGCGTCCACCCGGCCGTCGTCGTGAGTTGCTTAAAGTCTCTATTATGCCGTGGCAGTGGTCGTTTAAAAAAAATGATGCTTTTTTGCTCCAATTATGCCAAACATTTTACTAGCACAATCCGCCAAGGCCTAGTCTATGTACCAGGGGTCAGTGTTTTCGGGTTCCCCGTCTGAATGAAGCGTGAATGAAATGTCTGAAAATGGTTTAAGCATGGCGTGTGATTTACGCCTGTGTTCACTGTTTCTTTTCGCCGAAAATAAAGAACGTAATTATAAGATTTGTCTAGTATTCTTATGACAGACTCGTGTCTTTGCTGTAGTTTACGTTTAGCGCACATTTAGCCGCATTATTAAAAACACACAACGCGCAAAGGGCAGTTTCTGTAGACTACGAAATTATGGTTGTTCGTAGGGGGAAATGTTAAAAAAGTTTATCAACCTTCTTGGGTCTTTTCGGAAACAAAAAGTCTAACTTATAGTAAAGGTTACTGCGTATCAGATATTGTGATGCATAATCTACCGGGTACATGTAGGTACGATAACGATTTGTCGGTCCGATTTTGCAAAGAAAACATATTCTAACATAAAAATCGGCCTAATTTAACATTTGGGTAGAATCTCCTTGAGACGGAAAGATTGACCTATAAACATAAACCGTGAACTTGACGCAGCCAAAGAGTTTCGTGAATGACAACCAGAAAACAATAAATTTCATGGGCAATAAACTTCTTAAAGGGGTGTGGTGAAGGGAGAGGGGGACAATGATGCACACGTATGGGTAAGAATTCTTTTCCCTGTTACTGTGATCGAATTTGATTTTTAATTTTTGTTTTAAAATCAGTATTAATTTCTGGATTGGAAAAGGGTGAACCTTATTCGTTTTGTAATGAAAAGTCTAAAAATGGACGCTTCGCTTTTGGCCTTGGCTAAATCTATATATTATTTGTTGTTATACAGTTAGAAATGAGAAATCAGCTAAAATCTTAAGCAATACCAGACGAGTATAATTAACTGCACCAAGAGCCATTATGGCTCTTGACTGCCGCTTTGTACAGTAACAACAACCCTTACTAGTTTTGCCTCTTACGGTCTTAAATCGTGAGCGGCCTGGTATCCCAGCCAAGAGAGCTACAACCCTGGTCAAAACTCTTGGGACGCTAACGCAATAGCTCGTCAAATTGAGGCATCTTCCCTCCCCCCTTCCCCCTCGGTGCTGTGTTGACGTTATGTGCTTGGGGGAGAGGGGAACCGCAGAAATAGCCCTTTATAACAACATCCCTAAGCTTTTTTAAGAAGGAGAATATGAGTTAATTTAGCAAAGTGCGTATTATATTTGTGCCTAATTTCCGCAAGTGTCCCAATACGTTTTGACCAGGGTTGTAGTACAGAAAATCAATACAAATATGTATCAAATTTGAATCTGCGTTCCTGCATGCGTGGTGAGCAGTGAATTTTTTTTTACAATAACCTCTTTGTATTCGGTCAGAATGAAAAATCTTTGAATGGACAAAATTGCTTTGAAGCCGACACACATCAAATGTAAGAAGACTGAGCAGGCAAAAATTTCATAACTGCCTTGCATATAAATTCACTGGTCATCAAGCATGAATGAAGAGATGAATCTGAAATCTACAACTACCGACGGATTCAACTTTCAAATAATGGAATCTTAGTGGAGGGAGGGGGGGTGGGGTACGCTGGACCTGGCTTGACTGTAATGAGATAAGTATTAAAAGCATGGTTATTTAATAACACGCAAATTATCATATAGCCCCACCTTGGCAGAAGGGGGGGTTGACGGAACCGCTCCCCGGAGTTTTTAATATGTTGCAGTATTTCGAAATGATTTTGCCTTCAGTGAAAAGCCTTTGATCTTCTCAACAAGATGAGGTATATTTTATGGGTGGTGGTGCTACTGGAGACTCCAAACATGGTCGCCATCTTGGCCGTCTTCTTGGATATAACCAAGAATTAGCAATAAGGTAAAAACCACGAGATAATTTTTCGGGCTTGACATTTAAAATAATACATAATTCATTTCAGTACTTATTCATTCATTCATTCATTCATTTTTGCCATTATCCACATACTTTGAAACTAGAAAAATTCATTTCAGTTTTGCGAAACCTTTATTTTAACTATCTTTTGGTCATCTTTTTTCCAAGTGGCGGGTTTTTATCCTTATGTTGAAGCTTATGTTGAGTGGCATTACCACTTGAACACGTTGTTGAATAGTTCAGTCAAAAAGCTACTAGTAATTCCTTTCGTCTTGTAAGTTTACGAAATTAGTAACTGGTGCCCGTGTAATAAAGAAAAATAACGACTGGGAATAAACTGAATCCAAATCCAAAAGGCGTGATTGCTAACTGAGGATACTAAAAAGACTTGACTGAGCTTGACTGCTTCCTAGTTTTGGTGCTATCGTTTTACTGTACCAAGATATAACCTATTCCCTTTATATGCTTGTTGCCGTTGTCTGGATAATACATAGCCTCGTTGCCACATGTGTTATTGTTATCATGCAATCCACCAGTACCAAACCCGATTCTAGAGTCACACGTATTGCAATCGTCTTCATTGTTGCCGAGGAAACCGATTCTTGCTTTTGACTTATCTTTACCTTCATCCTGCTTGTTACTCTTGGCATTAAATCCTTCCCTGTTACATTTCCCCTGTAAAGAGGCCTCAGAACCAATCAGCGACTTCCACTTGTCACGACCCAGTGAGGTCTTGCGGTATTGGCCATCAGCGATCAGAGAGTACAAGGAGTTCGCCTCCTTGTTGATGACAATAAACCTAATCTGCTGGCCGATCTTCATACCGAGGCAGATCTTGGAGAAGGATGTGTTCCAGTAGGAAGGTAGTTTAGCCTCTTGCGAGTCAAACCCAGTCTTCCCTCCGTCAAGGTTAAAGGTTTCTTTGTTGCTCCAGAGACTGGCGTCGAAGTGAAAAGTTTGCTGTCATAAAATTGTTAAGAACAACAGTCTCCATCATAGGTAAAGAATGATTTAATTCAAGTATGGTCGGAAGGTTATTTCGCCTGTACATCTAGTAAGGCTCCATTACTTTGGGGTTGCAGAAATATTTCGAAACTCTTAATTATCAACAAACGTTGGATCCCGCTACAGTCCTGCTGTGGTTTGTCTCATTGTCTCATGATCAGATTACTTCGGATCATCGTTTGAGGCTCTTGCTGTGTAAATGAACTTCGTGTACTTTTACTAGTAAGAATAGGGCATATAATTTTTGATAGTAATTACGCGTGGAACACTCTCCGGAAATTTTCAGCCTTTCTCAAGCTTTAGAAATTTCTAGGCAACAGATGATCCTTTGAACAGTTTTGGCACGGCTAAGCAATGTAAGTACTCTGTATGCCAACCCCCGGATACTAACTGTAGATAAAGGTTGTGCACTGGTTAAAGTTTAATACGCTCTTAATTCGCTGAACTTCGCTGAAAGCAGGGCCCTATAGTCTTCCGTTACTAATACGATGTAAAAAGTTCTTGACAATGTCCACCTCAGTTCTTTATAGTGTCTAAAAACTGCAGGAGACTGGCGTTTATCGTGGACGCCATTTTCCAAAAAAGTTTTCCTCAGGTGCAAAGCGTTCTCAAGCGTTCTCAAGCGTTCTCAATAAGCCCGTTGGACATTTTTAGAAAAATCATTTAAATAGCACTCCTGACTCCTATTGAGAATTACCCCTTAAAGAATCAAGTCCGTGGTATTTGATAACCTTTTTTTTTTGCACTGTCGTTCCGGAACAAACTACTGAAAAGTTTACCTTGCTGCCGTTCATCTTCATGACCGGTGTCCATCCACCATCTCCACATCCAAAATCTCCCATGTGACAGAGGACGGGAATTATTTTGGAATCAAGGAGAAGAGTGATCAACCGAGTCACGTTTAACCTATACAAAATGAAATCTCATTTAATCTATTTTTTTTTTCCATATCTTGACTGTCGAATAAACAAAGGGAATGTTACTTAAAGAGCTCTGTCACGATTGCCTAGTTTATTTTGTTATAAAATATTGCCAATTACTCTTTCAAAGTAATTTTTTTATTGGCTTATTGACTTCCATAGCGCAAAGGAGTCTTTTGCGCTATGGAACTCAATAAGTCAATAAGAAATTACCTGTGAATGACAAAACTATTCTGTTGTCCAATAAATATGCCTCACGGTCATAAACATTACAGACTTCAAAAATGAATTTTGAATAACTGTACTATGCTAACAAGTTTTCAAAAACCCACAATTGCAATCCATTTTAAACCTTTTTAAAGTGTTTTTTATCCGAGCCTTTATTTTGCATTTGTGGCTGTTTTAATGGTGTAGGAACAGCCCCATCGAGAATCAATATTTTATTGTTTCTATTTAATTTTATTATTATTTAAATCAGTCGTGATACTCACTTTTCCTTGAGCTGATCATAAAGGACTTGACATGACTTTGCAACTGAAAAAAAAATTGAAACGTAAACTCAACTTAGATTTTCTCTCACTTTACCAAGAACCGATAATAAAGGGAGGAGGAGGGATAAAGGACAAGAGAAAATTCAAACCACAGGTTACGGCACTTTTACTGGTCTTTGCCTTTTTATGTGATACAGATAGCCTGCGTGGCAGGCGTTCCAAAGGGAAACGGAAGGGAGGAGGGGAACGCCTGCAAGGAAGCCATTAAACCACAGGTTACCCACTTTCCATTTACGGGTCTTTGCCTTTTTATGTGAGACAGACTGCTGGTCACGTCTTAAGTAATAACCTGTAATCTTTGGGGTGTAAACTACGTTTGGGTTAACAAATTCACACTACATCCAGGCACTTTAACTACCCATTCGTTTCTTTAGCCACGTTTCTTGTACCACTTGTGACGTCATCAGTTTTCGTTTAAAATTTTTTTCCCCAAAATGAAGCCAGTAGAAAAGTACGGAAGAAGAAAAGCAGAAGAGGCGGAGATGAGAGAAAGTGACAGGTAAACTTGGGGGGGAGTCAACAGTTTTTATTGAAAAGAAGACGATTCAAGCTTTGACGGTCATGTCAAATTAGTAATTTGACAGCAGCCAGCGGCGGTTTTGTTCATTTTGGCCAGATGGTGACTTGAGAGAAATGTGCTTTTGAGAGTACTGACAAATTTATCTGCCGATGCTTCAAAGCAGGTTAAAAAGACGCCAAAAGATGATTGTTGGCCCGTTGCACACCTGACAATAGGCTTTAAATATTATCAAGGACGACGGCTTTACTATTTATGCTGCCTTGAATTGATGCACAGGGCGGTGGTACAGCAATTACCTTCACAGAATTCTCCATGAAACCCATCCTTGCAACGGCAGTCAAACGTGTGATACCTGTAGTTCGCTACACAGGCGCCTCCGTACTGACATGGTGATAACATGCAAGGAGTCTGAAATAATATTAAAAAATTTTGATGGTGTCAAATGCCTTCTTTTCATTAATGTAATTTTGTTCCGCGTTTAATTGTTGAAGCAAGAAAAAAAGGGAGACGGTGACATTCGACTGAATAACTCGGAAGTCTTATCGTCAGTCACTTCAGACACCGCTTCCTGTTCGATTTCTTAGCTGATATTCTATGTAAAGAACCTTTTTAAAGAATTACGACGCCGAGTTTTACGTTTACACGAAAGTATCTTATATTTCAAGACACATTCAGTTAAAATCGCGTAGACCTGATATATAAAAAATATCTTACTTTAAACTCTATACAAAGAATTTACCACACCTTGATGGAAAAGTGATGAAAACTCTCGTTCCTTTTATACTCCTCGGGATTGCTGTACTTTTCGGAGGATAACAACTCACACCGCAACTTTCCATCTGCTCCTTTGTAAGCTGCCAGGTTGAAGGACAAACAGGAAGGATTGCCGAGGCATTCAAAGGTGCAGTCAAGGCTGTCATACACTGTGAATGTTCCAACTTTAGGAACGTTTAAATAATGGTACTCGTCCTTTATAAAAACATCTTGACGAAGACTATGATGATACATGGTGGTAAATTCTGAAGAATCATTAATCAAGAAAAAATAAAGGGTTAAATTTACCTTTTTAGAATGCATGGGTCGTGCATATATTAAGAAATCTCTTAACTTAGAGAGTTCCTGGCTTTACGAATGGCTTTTAAAATGGAACGCGTTAAGCGAACTGGAACCCAAAAACGTATTACTAAGCTAAAAGTAAAGCGTAGAGGTCAGGGAAAGAAAGAAAGAAATTATCATTTTCATGGAATTAGTGGTTTTTCTGGCAGTTCTGCAGGTATTTAATATTTGTGACTTTGAAAGTCATGCAGTTCTTCTACTTTTTGGAAACTTTAAAACTGAATTCAACTTACTAAGTTATTGAAAAGCAGCCACTCGACGACGGCCGCAACGATCAATCGTCTGAAAACAATTTGTTTATGATAAAATAACAGCTCCGCACGTGCATCACACCGTTCTTACTTAATCTGAAGTCCAATGCACGGCTTCGACGCGAAACCATTCCTAATACGACATTTTGTGGAGGACGTGAGTTTACACGTGTGACGACGAAATTTCCTTAATTCCTAGTCTTTTTAAAGAAATAAAAACTCAGATACGGTCTTTAAGAATTCAACTTCAGGAAAATTCACTTACATGCATTTTAACAAATTGACCGAAACTAAATAAAATAACGAGATAAAAATTTAACTCTTTAAAACGTGATAGAGTTTAAAAGAACGCAAAACTAGTATAATTTGTATTATTAAAAAGCAAACATTGGATAATGCAATTATAGCCAACTCGGCGCTACGTGCAACGTGCATCGTTGGCTATCTATCATCTCATTGAACGCGCAATCGTGGATTAAATATTCCTTTTTTTCCTAGTTATTAAGCTCTCTCTCCTGTAAAACAATTGGAACTGTCATACATTTCTCTAACATGCCGCCCGCAATTTTTCAGCGATTTTTAAAAAAACCAAGCGAAACCGAAAACTGAAGAACCAAGTTAGTTAGTCACAAAATGCAATCCGCGGGTGTTGTTTTACATGCACATCGTTATAATGACAAAAATTCGTCTCCATCTTTCCCACTAAATTATACTTAGCAAAAAATGTTATTTCCATGTCCAATTTTGCTCGACTTTCAATAAAATAAAGCGAAGAAAAACCAACCTTCCACTTGAGCAAAGACTGCATTGGATATCACAGAAAACAATGGAAGGAGGCAGAAGGATAAAGAGAACATCTTCGATTGGTGAAACTGTTGGCAAACTTCGATCGTAAAATCAGTGGATGAACTTGACAAACACTGCCAAAAACAGTGTTTTGTAAAGTGATAGCCGTTCTAAAACACCATCAGTTTATATGCAATATAATAAGTGTTTTATATTTATGACTTTCTTTGTTCGGTACGTCGCTTCAGTCAAGCTGGGCCAATTAATGACAAGTCTTGAAACCTCAACCAATGCACTGTATACGCCAACGTACTGGTTACTACGATTAACAATCTCTGGAAAAACAAACATTCTTAGAATAACAAGATGAAGACAACGTCATCTGCATAAATACCTCTTAAAGGAAACGTTACCAAAATTAATGATCTCTTTTTTTAGCTCCAAGACTCTCTGGCGTTGAAAATATCTTAGTTTTCTGCGCTGCAAATAAAATATGGCTTTTTATCAAACTACGTCTTCTTCATTAATGAGGGAATATTAATTCAATTGTCTCGAGCGTCAACTTACAAGTTTATTTTTCTTTAGTTAATTGTGAACATACAACATAAAAGGCATAAGACTAAGACGAGCTTACTAAATTATTTTTAGTTTGATTTGGGGTAGGAGGAAAATTACATTTTAGAAAAGACTTCATGTTAAGTCTTTTCATAAATGCCTTATTCTACCATCGATGACGACACCGGTCTGAATAAAAGCGGTACCCAATCAGTAGTCATCGCAAATTCGTTTTCTGTGAGTCCAAAAATCTTATTTCCAAGATTGCTTTTCTTTTCAAAAAGAATTAACATGGAATCCTCTATATTCCTTTTGACAACCGAAAAAATGATAGGTTCCCATTAACTTTAAAAAAGTTTATATCAAGGCACGTGTTCAAAACAAGGCCCAACTCTGCGCGAGCTCTGCTTGCATTTTCGGTTACGTACTTTCCGATAAGGAACAGAACGAAAATATAAACAAACAACTGTGTTGGATAAATCTGGCCACGGTTGTGGCAGGTTTAATGAAATCAAAGCTAACAGAATCACAACACATCGATATATCTAAACCGATTCACCTACTGAATAAAAAATGGAGCGACGAAAATCCGCCACAAACTACAAAACTAAATATTTAAGAAAAGGAGAAAGGAAGAAATAGGAAATACCGTGAACAATGATAACCAGCAGGCAGGTGAAAGGGGAGGAGGAGGGAAAGAATTTTGCTCGAGATCTGACCGAGTTGATGACGAGCGAGAGAAGGAAGAATTTCTGGGAAAAATACCTCGATATACCTACTTAACCCTGACACCGCCCTATAACCTAATTGGCTAGATTTGCAGTACCTGGTACAGCCTGACCTAGCGAGTTATCATGTGAGTATCATGCCTTGCCATAAATTACATTATGTCTGCCATAATGTCTAGTTTTTTGAAAATCTTATTTCAGCGCTAGGGAGTGTTTAATGCAGTTTTTCGACCAATGTAGTTAAATTTTATAATTATACTTTTATTAGTCTTTATAAACAGTATCTTTTTGACGACTTGCCAAATAAGAAGAATGTACTGTTCAATAAGGTTTTAGAGACTACGTGCGTTTTTTCGATCATTAGTGCTGTTAATTATAAGTTATGTTTAGTTTATAGTCTTAAATATTTAATTACGACTGTTGCATAAATTCATGCAACTTAGACAGCTTTCGTCAATTTGTTCAAGTTACTCCTTTGGGCCAACACTAAATTCTATTTCAAAGAAAGTGGATGGAGATGGAGAAGTCGCTACGTCACGTTGCCATGGTAGCAAAATTTCTGGATGACAACAAACCGAAAACTTTACTTAAAAAGTGAATCAATTCGCACTGTTTCAAACTTCATCGTTTTTATTCCATTTCACTTAATTTGTCAAATATTGGCGACATTATTTCAGGTGTTGAATCCGAAAGGACAGGATCTAAGTTTACAAAAAGGAAAAGAAAATGTCTATGTTGTGTTAGGAAGTTTCATGTCGCAGTAGGGCGAGATAGGAGAATGGTTATACAGTTAAGATACTACTTTACAATAGGCGTCTGTGCATACAAGAAAAAGGCCGGTCCAATTATCATGTAAAAACGGTAAGAGTAGAGAACATGTTTTCTACAAAAAAGGTATTTTTAAAACCCTCGAACGTACGAGGTGTGGATAAATATCACGATTTATTTTAAAAAGTCCTAAACTGCTGAGGTCTTTCTGAGTTTTTTCCTAGACGATAAAACGTCAGCACGCGACGTTTTCAGTAGCTGTTCGTTTATCCCTTGCGTGCATTTTGAGACAAGTTTTTAGTTAACAAAACAGAGCCAGTTATATGTCAGGTTAATCTACAGAAAGAAAAATTAGCTTCGATATCCCCTGGAGACCTTTTTTCTCTTTTTTAATTCGTCTTGTGTTACATACAAAGCAACAGAAGTCATGCCAGTCTATGTCCTTCTTCGGGGGTAGATTAGCGGCATCATTTGAATCTTGATATTCATGTTTCCTATGGTTTTAGCCTCAATTATTCATGACTCCTACAAGTCGAATTTTCTTCCAGATTCATGATTCACAAAGACTTTTGGTCACCTAAGGACTTAATAATTTTCTCAGTCGCAACTTAGTCTCATTCAAAACGGTTTTCCTACTATTTCACGATTTCTTTCTTTTTTTGTAATTGTCAAATATGTTTAAGACCTTCTTGACACATTTAAATAGACAAAATGACAGCTGCAGTAAATTTTAATGCAACCCAAACCGCTCAAGAGAAATCTAGAACCGCAGATCTAAGTACGGCTTGACCATCTCTTATGCAACTTAAATTTTGAATGTATGCCAGATATTTAGATTACCGAGCAAAGGCATTAAACATTTCTGCATTTAGGCTTATACTTATACAGTATATTCAAATTTTAATATCACATCTATTTTCTGAATAATTGATTCTGCGGTTGTTGGGCAATGTAAAAACCCTGGGGTTAATTTACTAAAACTTGTACACGTGTAGTTTGCAAGAGTAGCTATTGTTCTCAGACTCTAAAACAAATTGTTTTAGAGTCTGAGAACAATGGCAGCACTACACTTGTAAATTGCACGTATAAAGGTTTTAATTATTAAATTGACCCCTGGGCTTAATTGTAGCTTTGTTAATATATTCATTGACGTTAAAGGATAAGAGATAAAAGAAGACCACTATAAAGAAAGTTATATGCAGTAACTTATAAGCTCAGATGGTGTTGTTTTTCAGCTCTATTAATTCATTTCTGTCGTTAAGAAGGAAGAGTTAAAAGAGCTTTTAATTTAAACTCAGTGTTATGACAATACCCAGCTGAATTTTAGCTCTTGACTATTTATTTGTTTATTACTCGGCGTTAAAAGGAAAGAGTTAATAGAGAAACTCTCAATCAATCCATCAATCAACTTTATTTAAACACAGTAAATTGGCTCAGCAAGCTGGTTTTTAGACATGCTGTGTGACGATTACAACCTATAGATATTAAAACTGGTGATTAACTAACAATAATTTAGCACTACGATTTACAATTTTATATATGTTCCTATCGACTCTTATAAACGTAACTATGTAGTTTTGGGTAAGCACGATTTATTTGGATACAATATAATAAGAAGAAATAGGTCAAAAAATAAAAATAAAATAAAAAGTTATATCTTAGGATGTCGCAAGTTTAAAGCTAGTAGGTACTTTAAGATCCAACGACACCACGGCAATGAGAACGTCGCTAAAAAAGTGAATTTGCGTTCTTTCAGTCTTTATCGCAATTATTGGTACCCACTTACTTTGTCAAATGTAGGCGAACCCTCGTGGAGTCGAATTCCTAGGCACCATATGCAAGTACAGTAAGAGAAATAAAATTTCGTCGTTGCTTGTTTACGTCCTCCATAAAACGCGAAATTAGGGGTGTTCACGTCGTAGTCGTGCAAAAACGGGCGGAGAAATGTACAAAAAAGCATGATGCACGTGCAAAGCTGTTGTTTTGCTAATAAAACCTATTGTTTTTTGACGTTCTCGTTACCGTCCGCGTCGTTGGATCTTAAAGTTGACGTTTAAGTAGCCGAAGCCGTCGTCATTGCTCTTTACTAATAAGCTCCCTGATGAGAAAAAGGACGGGCGCTCGGAAGTCAACAATCTTAGCCAAGGAACCTAACAACCATTGTGACACCGGCCATACCTGTATTTTCGAGCAATGACCTTAGGAACTGGCAGGCATTATGGCCATTTGAATCTCTCTGTTCCTCAAAGCTGCACGGCTTGCCTTTGAAAAACAAAAACGACGGGCTTCACTTTCTAATTTGAGTTCACTTGCCCCAATAATTTCTATAAGACCCAACATGTAAAACTATGACCCCAGGTCCGCGAATTCAAAAATGAAAATAATTCTATCTTTTTCCAATGATTACTATCGCTTTTATTTATTTTTCAATATGTAGTGACAATAGTAAGGAGATTCATTTAATTATGTGTCTCAACAGTCAGTTTTGTCGAGGTTGTAGCTGACGTTGACGATGTTTGCCAATAGCAGCGTTCCAGCTGAGAGCAGAATAGGAATTGATTTTGCACGAAGAAGCCGAACTCAAAAGCATAGCAATATACTACAAAACTGAATACTTCTTTTAGTCAAATGGCCTTTAAATTGTCGGGTAGGTTCGTTTTAAAAAAACCTGGCTAGCCATGATTATGGGGCGGACTTAACACTGCGATTGGACTAAAATCCTTAACCCAGAATTTGTTGTACTATTTGATTCAAGGATACTACACACCAGAGTGGGTAAAAATCATTTCACGCACACTCGCGTATTTCGCGCCAACACCCTTCCAGAGATACACAGAGGTCTACTCGCTGTCTAAGGAAAGGTAGAAATTCTGTTATTTTATTCAAATGCCCTTCCTCTGTCTCGTCTAGCATACTGTAAGAAAGACAATTGTCAAACAGCCTTATTACCTCGTTCGGGCACAGCAACAAAAATCTTCTCTTGGTCTTGCTCGTCTCCAAACGCCAAAACGGTTACAGTGTGGGGTGTTGACTGGGCGGGGCCGACCACGTGCCTCACACAAGCAGACAACACATGATCATAATCTTTTGCTGGTAAAAGTAAATGATTAAATTGAGTAAAAACAAGATAGTTCATCCAAATAGTTAACACGCTGAGCTGGTGAAGATGCTCACTCAGAAAACTACAGTAGAGTCGCCCCCTCGATATTTCCTGCTACGATGCCATATATCTCTGGTGCAAAAACAAAAAAAAAGTAACAGTCGGAATTTGATCCTCACAGCAAACTGATTGGCTTAGATTTTGAGACAGTAAACAGTAGAGATTATTAGCCAGAAATTGCAGGGGTTTACAAGAAAATAACGGATGAAAAAGAACAACAAAAACGCTTTCTACTGGGGTTATGATGAAAAAAAAAAAGATATTCTACTGCATTTTTCAAAGTTTTAGCGATATGTCAGATTGTCTGTGACTCTCTTGATGGCCAAAAATTACTTATTAATAACCACTGTCTTTACGTTCTCACTTTCAATTACTGTAACTGACACAGTCGTCTGACTGTTCTTGCAGGAGACATCTAATTGGTTTTCAGAGTCAAAACGTTGTTCGTGTGCTGGACACAGATGATGTAAAACAAAAGACCTCTCTGTTTTCTGTTCAGGGAAAAATCTCCTTGGTATTGTTTCATGGTTTTTGTTCTCATCTGTGTCCGCTACACGAATTAAATGTCGATTTCAGTCGTTTCAAAGTTTGACCGTGTATCGTAATTAGTTAAAGATAATCCTTCAAAGAACAGGTACTCACATTTAAATCCATTACCTTGCATCTCAAATATACCGGCCTTTTAAAGAAAAACAAACAAACAAACAGATTTATTAATCATATCAAATCCAGGAGAATAGTCCAAACTGTTCACAGTCCCCTATTTTTCCGTAAGATTGTCCAGAACAAGTGCTTTGCGGAACAGGCGGCCATCTTGGTTTCAAATGTTCAGTGTCTAGCCTGAGGATAAACCCCGACACCCTCCACTTCGGTACATTATGAAACCAAGATATATAGTTGCCCGTACCACTCAGAGCTCAACCCTGACGATCTTACGAAAAAAATTGATGACCTGTTCACAGTCCAAAAGAATATAGTTTTAGAATTTCCGCTATAACACCCTTGAAGTATTTTAATCGTCAGTGCATAACAGTTATGTTTAGAAAATTTAATTATTGGCATGGTCAGATCATGAGGGAAACTGAACATTGAAAAGAACTGAAACAACACTTACATCAGTATTCAGAAGAATTCTGTCAGGTAGAGTTAACGCCCCTTTAACCTGCACAGTTGGCATAGTTTGTCTAAGAATACACTTTCTTCCAAAAGACATTTCAAGCTAGAGAGAAAATATGAAAATGGCATTTTGCCAAACTCAAAATTCAAGTTCAAAAATTATTTCACAAAGAAAAGTACAAGCCAAAATTATTTGTAAGGTTTCAAATTACTCAGAGTTTAGAATATCTGTAAGTAAGTATGTAATGGACCTAACCTGAATCTTTAAGAACTGCATCTTCTCAAATTCTGAACTGGTGTAAATAACATGGTTTGTCATCTCATCGGATCCAATGAGGCAAATAGGAGAAAGGTTTGGAAGACAGCTCACTGGGATCTCCTTGGAAAGTGAGGGTAGCTGTGTTTCTTCATAACCTAGTCTGTTCTGAATTGTGTTATTGATTGGAAAATGAAAGGCGTCCAAATGCAAAGTCAATCTGAAACCAAAGGAAGGAATGCATCAGTAAATTTGAATTAAGTTGCTGCAAATAGTTTACACATGGAGGCTCTAATTTTCAAAAAGGCGATCAATTGTTGCTTGGGGTAAAAGGGGTTTGCATGACAAGCAAAAAAAAAATATAATAAATACAACAACAACAACAACAAAAAGAAATGGGTCTGTCATATAAAGACTATCAAGGGAATTTAATAATTCTGCTAACTAGAACATGTGCAAGCAATTATTGAAAGTATTCTTTTCAACTTTGCTCCCAGGGCCTTTAAGCAGATCATCTGAACTTAAATTCCATCATAACCTTTTTAGGATGGAATCCATCAGGAAATTGAGTAGTTTTAATTTTTAGTGGACAAAAACCTTTTACCAGAATAATTTAAAGAATATTCACTCATGCAGTCTTTTTTACTTTTTTCAAGTGCTATAGATGTGATTAGTTATGTGTAATAACACCAAAGAGAATTTCTTATGGGAGGCTGAGAAAATGAATGTCAAATTTCACAAGAATTGTGAAAACACAGGCAAATTGTGAAAATTTCATGTGAAAGATGTCATTTTGTGAAATTTGACATTCCTTTTCATGGGCTCCCATAAGAAATTTTCTTTGGTGTTACTACAGATGACTAATTACATCTTCAGCCCTTCAAAAATGTAAATTTGATTATATGTATTAAATTATTCTGGTACATTAAGGTTTTTGTCCACTGAAAATTAAAATAGCTCAATTTCCTGGTGGATTCCATCTTGAATTCTTTCTATTTAAGAGCAAGTAATACATGTACCACATCTACAGTATCAATTTTTTTAAAGGCCGATTACAAGATCTAAGATCAGTGTACTCTTGAATTCCTCTTGTCACACTTAGTGATGCAAATCAACAATGTCAGTAAAAAGCAACTATTTGCTCTGTCTCTGACACTGACCCTGACCCTGATAATGTACACTGTGGTTATCAAACATTTTTTAATACCTCTGGGAGTTTATATAAGGGCCAATACCACTGTCAACAACTTCACAGTGCAATGCATTTGTTGAGTCTGCAATGTGGAGAGGGACAAACCAGGCTGGGTTACACAGCTCTAAGAAGTTTGAACAGTTCTTTGCAGTTTGACAGCATTCTACTCCTGCTTGTTCCATTTGGATATCATCAGGCTCTTTACACAGGGGCTTTATTCCACTACAAAAGCACTCACTTGAACTGAAACAAAAATTTAATCAAATGTGATTAAATTCTGGTGGCGCCTTCCTTAAATTTTTTTGGCAACCCCAAACTCTCAACAGAATAAGGCCAATGATATTTCATTAAAAATAATAGAGTCCACCCCCAGAAATCAATGTAAGGCCCTTGCAGTACAGTGTAGTTTGTGCCTGAAAAAAAAGCTCCCGGTGATATCTCCCGCTCAGGGTTCTATCTAGGATTTATCGTTTGGGGGAGACTGTCCTAAATGGATGTAGGCAACAAACTTCCAAGGGGGGTTCCGGGGCATGGCCCCCTCCCCCGAAAAATTTGTTAAATGAGTATGTGCTGAAATGCCGCTCTGGTGCATTTTGAGACACAATTTTGAGACACAATTTTGAGAAACGTCACAGTGTGTGCACTGACCTTGTTATGCCTGGATGATTTTTCTAATATAGCTACTTATATACTGTAATGATAATGCAATATCTTTTTTTTTTGGGAGGGGGGGGAGAAGCTGGGCGTTTTGGGGGAAAGCTTCTAACCCTCAAATACCCTAGATAGAACCCACCTAGTAAGTTACAAGACACTCTTCCAATTGGCTTGCATGTGCTTCTTAACCAAAGGGAGAATTTTATTGTCAGACTAACTGTGACAATTTGGCATTAATTCCATGCACCTGTTTATTTACCATTTGCATGTCTGGTTTCATATAGCAACTGCATTTGTCAGGATAGTAACTCTTTGGTAGGATAGTTCTCTTATATGTTTATGAAGTTCGGGAAAGTATAAAACAAGACATTACAGTAAAAAAGTTTTAAAACAGTTTCAGTCATCACTACTAGGGCTATGTGTGTGAAAATCGTGTGAAAAGGGTGTGAAAAGTGTGTGAAAAAAAGGAACCATGTGAAATCAATGTTGGAAAAAATACAAGTTCACCCCATCAGCATTTCACATGCATGTGAACTTTTTGATATGGGTGTGAAATTTTGTAATACATGTGAAAAATTTTTGTCATATGTGTGAACTTTTTTTCCAAGCATTTTATTACATGTGAAATCTTTTCATACATGTGAAACACTTCTGTCATGCATGTGAACTTCAAATTTCACATGCATAATAGATTCTATGCATGTGAAATTTTTCACATGCATGTGAACACTTTTAGGCATGTCAGAGTGAGCATGTGAATTTTTTTCAGGGCTTGTTAAATGCAACCACCATGAACCATATTTTTATGAAAATGCCATGAATTTCTGGTGAATACCCCATGAAAGGCATTTCATGGCTCATAAAAACTGCAAAATTAAATTTCATGCCATGCCACATCTAGCATTCTATGGCTCATAGCTGATAAATATCAAACTAAGTTGACTATGAGGGTGATGAATTTTTGAAGAATAAGATTTGATATGTTACTAACCTAGAAAATTCACTATACTTTAATGCATCAGACCTTTAAGGCAAGTGATCACAACAAACGTGCTGTTACAAATCATCATCATCATCACCATTAAAGGTGAACCCCAATATACCAAAGTGCCAAGCCCCAGAAGGGCCCTCTTGTAAAGCAGCGGACTGGAATTAGCGTTCAAAGCTCTTTTCATGAACTAGCTTGCAACCAGATCTCTCAGTCAATAACTGTATTAATTATTATTAAATACACAGGGGTTTCAAAACAAGCCGGAGACTAGAGTTCTGCCGGCTACTCGACTGTATATCGCTGGCTGCGCTGGTCATAACAATTAGCTTGTGACAAACAATCTCGATTGTCACAGCCGCCTGCTTTTCCAGAGTTGGCGCCTACTTCAAAACATTTTGAAACCCCTGAATACACTGTACATTCTTCATTATATTTGGCTTGATTAAAACCTTTCGAGTATCCGATCCACATGTGCATCTTTACAAATATCATTGTCTTCATTGTTTGCTAGAACATGCTATATAAATTTATGTATTTTATCAACTGTCTCATCTAAATTTGTGGGTTGTGTATCTTACCACTTGAGTTTCCACCCAGAAAGATGTGTACCATGATTTTTGTTAAGTGGGGAGGGCTAAATCCTGAGAATTAAACCATTCTTTCAACAGATCTTCATTGAGGACAAAACGGACTTAATTTTATTACTCCATCAGAAAACTTACTTTGCTAACATATACGACATATGTAACTTACACTTTATGAATGTTTTGTTTCTTACTGTAACGTTCCTCGTTTTAACATTGAAAGTCCACTTGAACATGCGAACAGTTCCTTGCTTTGCATGCTTTTTGAGTTTTCTTTTGATACCGTTCGTTCAACTAATGATTCCTTGAAGCAAACGACTGGCATGCTCTTGGTTTGCTCAAGTTGTCTTTGGTTCAATCAGCTTTCCGTACCTGAGCTTATCCAACATGAACAACGTCCACAACACGTATTAATTAGTCGCAACTTAGATTCATGTAGTGAAGGCCAGCATTTCCTTAAATTCTCAAAGGTTTCCCAACTTGAAGGAACAATGTTAAGTCTCTCTCTTGCTTCTAATACTTCAAATGCACTGGAATATTCTAATTAATGCTGAAAATAACCGCTTCATCGACTCAAACGAGTGCACTTTCTTCGTTGCAAGATTAGCCGCCATGTTTGTTGTTTCCCAGGCTTCCCCGTGATTTTAGCACATGCGCGATTTGATTTACAATGTCACGTGCGGCTTTTCAACCAATAGAAAATTGTAAAATGAAGTTCCGTTGAATAGTTTAAATTCACGCGGACTTCACAAGCAACACAGCGATGCAAACAGAATATTTTCGTTACTTTCGGATAGATAGAAGACTGTCTTTCAATAATACCCATGTTATTTTCGAGAGAAAGTGATCAATTGCAAAATTCTTCACAAAAAGCATGTTTCCAAGTCAGCAACTCAGCCGGATTATGGCAGAAAGGTATGTTCTTCTTGATATCGTGGTTCGTTAACAAGAGCTTACTTTGGTTTTCTAATAACTTTGCGTAAGCTTAAACCTTCAAAGATACATCTTAATTCAAGATGCATGCACAGATATGCCATTGATTGATTCTTTTTTGTTTACTGCAGAAAAAACTGTACTCTTTGTTGCAAATCGTCAATGGAATACTCTGAAAATTTTATGTTCTGACGCTAGTAGGCTGTGGCAGACTTGTCAAGAGTACCAATGTTAAATAAAATAGGAGAAGAAATAGCATAAGTTTCCGTTATGCATGCAATGTATACTACAAGTTGGAAGCAATTCAGTTTCCAGTTAATTCATAATGACTTGAGAGTTGAACTAAACCTATAAAATTTGAGTAGGTTTGTTTATTTGAGCTCCGATTCATAATATTCATACATCTGCAGTAAGGTCAAAAATAAAAGGCAGCTCTATCTAGTCTGATGTGTGGACCTTCAGTTCAGAAAGCTGTTCAGCCACTTTGAAAGAAGCAGTCATTTAGCATTATTTTTTTTCCATAAACATGCTTGTATTTTTCAAAGTTGTTTATTTACTTTGTCTTTTCACTGACATTGAGAGCTAGATTGCTTTTCTGTAACTTGGTATTCCTTAATAAGTGGAAATTGTAAATTGGCCACTATGTCATTTACTCTCATAATTATTACAATTTATAAGAAATATTTCTAACCAAAAATTAGTATATTATTAGCTATTTTATTGATGTAGGAATTAAAGGTATAAAAACTGAGCATGATAGAAAGTTTTGTTTTTATTATTATCCTCCAGGCAATAAATATTGACAAATAAACAGGATTGGACATTGATGTTTCCATTAGCCTTATGTGCCTTTTGGGAGTAACTTAAATTTACATTTAAGTTCATTTTGGGACATGTGAGTCAGTTGAACTGAGTTTCACCATGTTGATAATATGAAACCAATTTCCTTTGCCAATCAATTCTATCCAGTTTGCTTTTCACTTTTTGCCAGTTTTATATAAATCAAGTTCTTCTGAAAATACCATAAAATTATAAATAAACCAACAGATCAGGCTATAAACCTGAAGTTGTTTGTGACTATATGAAAACACAACCATGCATGCAGTTGACAGTACTTCGGACAAATTTATTGCAAGCAGAAAGTGAAAATGTAAATTTGTGTGTAAATTGATCTAAGCTAGTTGATTTACTGAATATCTGCTTGTGAAACAACGTACCCAATTTGTGTGAAGTGGTATGGGAAATTCTACCGTGCAAGCAGAGTTTTCTTTCTTGCATGGCTTTTTACAAAGTCGTTTGGGTGGCTTGTCTGTCGCGTAGTTGGTTTGTTTATGTGTAAACAAACCTCTGCTCGCAGGGTAGTGAAATTCTATTGCCATTCATGATCTCTGATCTCTGAGGATTTACATGTGACAGCTCATGTGAAACCCCATGTGAAGTGTATGTGAAAATAATGTGTGAATTAGTAGCATGGGAAATTCTAGATGTTTTGCCATTCAGTGAGGATTAAGCACATGTGAAAGACCATGTGAAACCCCATGTGAAGTGTATGAAAATATGTGTGAATTTAAATGAGGATTTACATGTGAAAGCCTGTGTGAAACCCCATGTGAAGTGAATGTGAAAATATGTGTGAAAGGGATGACGTCGCTTCACACCCTTTTCACATATATTTCACTTTGCAAAATTTCACATGCACGTGAAATATGTGTGTGAAATGCGTGTGAAAAGTGTGTGAAAAACGTGTGAAAAATGTGTGAAAAGAGTGTGAAAATAGGACATTTTTCACACGTTTTTCACATGGTGTTTCACATACATACTCCTAGTAGTGCATGAAACTTACACATCAGAGGGAATAGTCAGATCAAGATCATTTAAGTAGCCTGCTGTGTGTTTAAGTTAACAGGACTGATAAAAACTCTTTTTATCACAGAAATCTTGTACATTTTTCTTTTGATCTACATCACCATCACAGTGACACCTCTGCAGTCTTGAAAGATTACTGAAAGAATAATTAATGACTCCTGCCCTCGCTGGCATGCCACCAGGATCTTTCAGTAATCCTGAGCTCTACATTGACTCTCATTTGTACAAGCATTCCAAAATGAGAACTCAGTAATGTATGTCATGTTGCCTATGTTTTTATCCTTGGTTTAGTCTTTTTTTAATGCATCTTCAATATCATTCAGTGATCATTCGTTATCACTGCACAAAAACAACTGATAAAATGAAATAAAAATCACGCAAGCAATTCAAACAGAAGAATCTTTGAACAACAATGATTTAATTTATACCTTACAAAATAATTGACAGAACGAGCTCACATACTGCATGTTGCATGGCACACTGCAGATATGGAAAAACCAGTTAGACTGCAGCATAATAAACATTACCACAGGAAAGTTACCCTTGAAGTAGGGTTCATTTGACAATGGTCAAGCACAAAAGAGAAGGCTCTTTAAAATTTAAGGTAAAGTAATTGATTTTACCTGCCAATTGTATTCGTTTTATTTCGTGAAATACAGCCACAGCTATGCTGATCTCCCAGCTCTGTAAGTACAGCTGAAATAAGGACGGAAAATCTTCTCGTACCGTGATGATTCATTCCAAAGGCCTCTGATTCAATGTTCACAACTGGGTTGACCCCTGTTAATACTAATGATCTCAACACTTCAGAATCCATCTGTCGAGAAAATGACCATGAAACCAAGTACTAAAACGATTTATGAACAAGTATGAATTCCCCCAAATTACCGTGTCTAGATGACGCGTTAATGAAGATTTTATTTATCATTATTATCAGGGGCACCCAACGACAATTTTCGGAAAATATCTGTTCGGAAGACGATTTGAGATCTAGAATTTTCGAAACATTTGTTGTAAAACTTCTTGCTTGCCTGCCTCTCCTAGGATTTTCGAACATCTAAAAAATGGTATAATTGCCTATTTTTAACGGATTTTTACCCTAAAAAGGTCACCTAGAATTTTCGGGAGCCTATTTTCTGGCTGAAATTTTCGAAAAGGTAAGTTTTGATCCCTGTACTTTCGGATCACTAGACTTTCAGCTAGGAAACCCGAACAGATGAAAAATTTTTAGGGGATAAAAATATGCCTTTATCTACTGTTTAAATACTAAAATACGTTTAAAAATGCTATGTTTAAGTGGTTTTGAACTATATTCCCGTTGGGTGCCCCTGTTATTATCGTAGATTAACAGCAAAAGGCTCTTAAGAATAACTGATAACGACAGACATAAACAATAATACCCTAAAGTCTGTCATCAATTCGTTACTTTCCGATATAAATAGTGAAATAAACAACCATAGTTTAACGCAGTTTACCTTTTCATTACATTTAACTCTAATCCTCAGGAAATATTGTCCACCTGGAATGATTACAGGTGCCACTTGCGAGAGATTTTCTTTTTGAACTGCATCTAGTACCCATTCGCAATGCTTATTTTTTGCAAAAGCACACCAAAATCCGAAAATGATGAGAGAGAACGCCGAGCACTTCCAGAGTTCCATCTTGGCATCGAAGAGTTGGATGTCTTTCAAACTCCACGGCTACGTTTATCGACCAGAAAAAGCCGTATTTTGCATTGCTGATCGAATGCAAGGGCAATCAGAGACGTAATAAATGCGAAGTTTTAGATATTTTTTCTGTTTTGTGTCGTCCTCTCGCATTTTTCCTTGCTGGTCATCTTTGTCCACCCTGCCATGTGACAACCCAGAACTAGAAACTAGTAGCCAGTCCTCCCGGGATGCAAGCCGGCAATGTCATATGTTTTGTCACGCAATTCATTGTCAAAAATCAAGTTGTGTTACGTTGTGAAAAGCGTGCATGTGCATTTTCGAGCCCCTTTAAAAAGAGAAGAAGAGCTAAGGAACCTGCCTGGATAATCAACCATGAGTTTCGCCAAATCAAAACTTGAAAAACATTGTTAATAACGTTGGAAGAGGAATTTATGAAAAGAGTTGGTGGGAATTTATTTTTATTTCTGTATTAATATCGAGTTTTGTTCAGTTCAAACCCCCCGGAAATTTTACGGGGCCGATAATAGGGAAAGACTGACTCTCTGTATACCATTCAGACATAAACACTTATATCCTTGGAAAGAAATCTAGCTAAATCTAGTGACTTATTTAGTCAACCCAGGTATTTCTTGGAAATATTATTTATGCGTGTCAAACTGGCGGTTTTGTCAAGTCTAACCTTTTTTTAATACCGCTGATACCTGATCAAAAGTCAAACCCCGTTAACACGGTCACTGAGGGGGCCATAGAAAGTGTCATTATTAACGGGTTACTTAGGAGCAAAGCAAACTGTCCGTAATAATGAGGTGTCAGTATTAAGCGGGTGTCCTTAAAGCGGGGATTGATTGTACTAGTTTGAGTCTCTATTTACATTATATGTATTTAAGAAACAGCACAATAACTTAACTCAGGTTTTTTAACATTACTTTCAAATGGCGTTTTTTTAAAGTCGTAACTGACCCGACTTTTACAAAAAGACTTTTAAAATACTTCTTAGCTTGATTTGGTGATCATCTAGTCTAGCTATATTTTAGAGAATAAGGGGCTTTACACAAAGTTAAAAAAGCCGTCAAAAGGTCATTGCTAAGGCTGACAAAGGCTGTCGTTCAGCGTTTTGTGATTAATAAAATTTAAACAGCAACTGAATTTGAAATATGAATTTCTGATTTGGCTTTGCACATATAGCTTTTGGCCAACATTACTTTCTGTGCTTCTTTTAAAGTACGTTGCTAATTTTTGTTCCAAACAGAGCGTAAAACCGTTGATTCACACGCTAAGCTGGTCGTGGCCATGATACACAAAGCCCGGGAAGGGTGTAGTCCTGGGAATTCTTGGTGGGGATGTGCCGCCTGGTCCTCCTAATCCTGACCCTATTTCAGACCCAATTAGTAAGGCACTGTGCCTGAGCTATAAGACATGAGACTTGAATAAAGTTCATTATTTATTATATTTTACCAAAAAAAATGTTATTTTCCACATCCGTTTTCAGACCAGACCCATAAAATCCATACTAGTTTCCAGCCCTGGATTTTTTGGCAGAAATTATATACGTCATCACTACTTAGATTAGAGCGCAAAAAAACAAAAAATTCTTCAAATCCATTTTGAATTCCCATATTTCTCTTTCTTTCTTACTCATTTGGAACTGAAACGATAAATACGGTCATACACTCCCAGTAGTTCCCTCGAAAACCATGCACGATTCCAGACCAAAATTGGCAAAGTGTATACCCGTTTTCAGACCAAAAAGGACCCAAAACCATACCTTTTGGGGCGGCACATACCTACATGGCTTATATAAGGGAGTCCCCCCCCCCCTAACACAAAGATTACATTAATTGTTTACTCTTAAGGTAAGAATAATTACAGTTTAATTTCGAGGAACAACAGTTCTTACAATATATTTTTTTTCGATTTCATTTCAGTTCTCAGTCATTTCTCTTTAATGAAAAACAATCCTGAAATTTTCCCAAGTGTCAATTCCCATGCGTATATCCGCTCGAAATGTCTGGCAACGTTTCTTTACAAATCCCATTCTCGTCCCCGGAGCCCATCGTTTCTTTTGGTAACGTGGTCTTGAAACGAGGGGCTCCACTCATCCGTTACAAAAATTAAGCCAAGTGGCTCTGGGGACGACAATGTAAAAATCCGAAAAACTGTGTCTGCTAAATATGATTGACAAAGGATTTGAGTAGTATCCGGCGGGGGGTAGTATCGTTTTACTGCACCAAGATATAACCTATTGATGTTATATTCTTGTCGCCATTGTCTGGTGAACTTGAAGCCCGGTTCCCACATGTGTTAGAGTCATCGGGGTATCCTGTAGTTCCAAAACCGATCCTAGAGTCACACGTATCACAATAATTTCCATCATTACCAAGGATGCCGATTCTTGCTCTGGAATAACCACTGCTGGTGCTCATGGCGTTAAACCCTTCCTTGTTACAGTTTTGTTGCAAGGAGGCGTCAGAACCAATCAGAGACTTCCAAGTGTCACGGCCTAGTTTGGTGGCGCAGTAGTGCCCATCAGCGATCAATGAGTACAAGGAGTTCGCCTGCTTGCTGATGACAATAAACTTGACCGTCTGATCAATCTTCATACCGAGGCAGATCTTGGAGAAGGAAGTGTTCCAGTAGGAAGGAAGTTTGGTCTCCTGTGAATCGAACCCAGTTTTCCCTCCGTCAAGGTTAAAGGTTTCTTTATTACTCCATAGAGCGTCATTGTATTGAAACGTATGCTGTAAAGACAGAAAAAACTGGCATTTAAATGAGTCGTGCGCAGTAGAGAATCTAAGGAAGGAACCCAAGGGGGCCCAAGCACCCACCTTATTTCTAGGCCAAACTGTGGCCCGTTGGGGCCAAGAAAAATTGTTTCCAAGGCCGGTCCCACCTCTTCTTAGGCACTAACGGACTTAGTGATCTAAATTCGTCACTAGTACGTAAGGACAAAACCAAACTCTCGCCGAGCCAATTAGGCTAAAGCGACTGGCGGTCTGATCGCTCTCTTACAGAGCATAGAAACTATGGCTATAAAACTAGCTAGCAATAAATTGTGCAAAAAGCTTCAAAACAAATAATCTTTTATCGTCAAAACAATTTTTGGTTGCATCAGTTAACTTAGAAAACGACCAAAGCTCATAATAGAACTGTCCGTACCTTGTTACCGTCGATCTTCATAACCGGGGTCCATCCTCCAACTCCACATCCAAAATCTCCCATGTGACAGAGAACGGAAATTAGTTTGGAGTCAAGGAGAAGAGTGGTCAATTGAGTCGCTTTCAGCCTGTACATAAATCAGCGGACGAAAGAAAAGAAATACTACAGTGAAACCTCTATTAAGCGGACACCTTCGGAACCTTCCCAAGTGTTCCCTTTTAAATAGAGAATTGTGAAAATTGCGCAATGCTGTGATAAAGTTTCATATTCTTAAGGAAGCTCAGGAAACTGTGCTGTACTTTGTGCAAGATTTGCGGTGAACTTTTGACAGCTAAATGTATTGACTTAATTACCTTTATTAATCCACTACAGTGTGTATTTCAAGGAGGCTTTAAACAATAGAAATTAGCCGAATACCATATATTTTAGTGTCCGCGTCTGCGCGTTAGTAGAGGTGTCCGCTAAATAGGGGTTCGATATAATGGAAAATATAAGATGTCAATTTCGGGACCCGGCTTAGTGTCCGCTTAATAGAGTGAATAATAATAGATAAAACATCAGCTTCTGACTTTTTCAGTAGCTGTTCGTTCATCCCTCGCGCAGTTTTTGAGACAAGTTTAGTGATGGTCAGTTGCTATGGTTACGAGATATGAAGTCATAGGTAGAAGGTGGTCAAGCCAATTTGGGGTGAAAATACATGTTTTTCAACTTTTTTCAAAAAATTAAAGTAAATCTTTTGGATAAAATCATGCAAAGTGCTTATTTATGTGTCATTTTTCATGTAAAGCACAAAAAAATTACCATCAGGTGTACCTCAGGGTACCATCTTAGGGCCCATCTCGTTCATAATGTACGTCAACGGTATATTTACCGACGATTCTCCAACTGTGAAATTATATGCGACTACTCTTTAATCATTTAGAGACCCAGGCAGCATTCCTGATGATGCACATGTGCTACAATCTGCACGGTGGGCATATAGGACGCCTAAAAGTGCATCCTTGGAACTACTTTCGCGTTTTGTATTCGTTTCAGCTAAAACTTTGCAGGATGGTAGAAGTTTGTATTCCAAAAAATCCTATAATTTTTGTTTTTCGATTTTAACAGTTTTTGGCGGGAAAATGACGTCACCAGATTGACAGCCAAATTTAAATTTCAAGTTATGGCAAAACCAATAAATAATTTTGAAAGAACGTGACGTGATAGAAACAAATGTGAAAAAATTTTTTGGAAAAGCTCAATTGCTGTGGGCGATAGAGTGTCTTGAAATATACCAGGAGCCCATCAAATGGAGCCCCCATCTCCCATAGAAGCCCTTAGAGTCAACTCTTTCCCGAGTAGATTTATAATTAGAACGACTCCCAGGGGAGACTTCGCGAACCGACGGTGGGAAGAGCCAATCACAACGACGAAATGACACTGCTATTGTACTTCTTGAAACAGCAGGAAATTCGGTGTTGACAGGCCAAACACAATCGTAAGCTAGTGAAACGTGACTTTGGCGTTTTCATCCCTCAGAGATTTACTTTCTTTTCTTTCTAGCGGGTAGATTATATTGTGGAGAGTTTTAACCTGTGACAATGTTAATCTTAATTTTGGTTGTTTGTCTCATATTAAGAGGCCATGAAGTTGGTCTGTTACATGCATAATGATTGACTATTACCTGCAGTCTGTAGTTCTGAGAGGATTCGTTTTCAGTAGCCAAATTTTTTGAGCGTTAAGGTTCTTATTTCAGTTATTTCGGCTTAATGACTCAATATTAATCAAATTTCTAGCTTTTTAAGTTTTTTTTTTTCCGAACTGCGTTTATCTGAATAAATACTTGTAGTCCTTATGGTTGTTTTTGTCCGTCAGCTAGTGTGATGATTCCCTGCTATGTTTTGTAACGCCGGGCCCAGCCATTGTTTTCTCGCAAAAAACGGATCTATAGATGCGAATTCGAAGGAAAGAATTGAGCCTAAACTTCTACATTAACTGCTGAGAATTGTCCTGTTACTCAGTCGTAATTCTTTTGGCGCAGATACAATCCATTTTGTTTTCTTGAGATAAGTGGGTCTTTGGACTGGAGCGCGATTTCACAAATTCCTCCGTTAGCAAATTACTTCTGAGTTAGCTTCACGGTCGAGCAACTGTTGTCTTCTGTTCAACTTTTCAAGTGCCAGTTTTATCAGGAAACTCTCATGGTGATACAAGTCAGTTGTAAAGGAAGAATACAATTTCTCAAATTTCAGAATTGAAGCATTCCTCTTTAGTTGCTCCTTAGGTCATTGCTTTTGCACGCGGTGCTTAACTGGCGAAATCCACTCCACGGTGATGACAAAAATCAAATGATCCTGGCATTTTTCAGCGCTCATCATCGAAAAGTTCCAAGCCGTCAACGGAACGCTTAATCGTCGACTCTTTTCAAGGTGCATGCTTAAATGTGGGATGTAAGAAGGCAAAAAAATAAAATAAAATAAAAAAGCACTCGCAAAGATAGCCTTTCCGTGATCTTCAGTTCGCTGCCTTTGTCCCATCCGGCTTCTTGCTCATCAGTCTCAGTCGGGTAATTCATTAACTTTTATTTCATGATACCCAGATCCCAGCGGCTGTAAAATTGTAAAAATGGACGTATAGTAAAAAAGGAAAACGGTCAAAGGACGGGCTTCTGAGTTCGACTTCATCCAACTTCATTTTTTTCACGATGACATACGAGACTCACGGAAACAGAACACTTTTCGCGGGAAACAAGCCGTTCTATTTATAAATCTACTCGGGAAAGGGTTGACTCAAGACATTAATGGAGATGGAGGCTCCATTTGATGGGCTCCTGAATATACTTATGGTTCTAATAATAATAGCAAAATGGCGGAAAATTCAAAAATCAAAGCTTAGTAATTCTTTAACGAGTTGAGCTTTTCAAAAAAATTTGTCACATTTTATTTTTGAATAAGCTTACGTACAGGTTATTATGTATGTAGGTATCCGTACCACAGATGAACAGTGAATGATAATACTTACTTCTCCGGCAGCTGATCATACACGACTGAACATGAATTTGGAATCGCTGAAATGAAGAAGCAGCCGTTAACGCAGCTGAGAGTCCCAGGTTTAAGGTGACTCGACCCAGTTTTTTTTGGGGGGTACCATCCTACTTTGAAGCTCTCTGGTATCCCCAGCTTTACTTTTATCGTAAGTCTAACACATAGAATGGATAACATATAGATCAATCTACAGTATAACATAAAATTTTGGGCGATCGGAGTAAATGTCACGTGGTTATAATACCACGCCCCTTTGAGGTCTGAGTCGAAAATCTGCTGTTGCCGGCATTTTTTCGTGAAAATCTCTCGGCTACACATAGTGCGCATTAGTGCCTTGCGCTATACTAGAGAGTTTCACCAAAATCGCAAAGACCCAATTCGAGAAATTCAGCGGTTTCCAAATTTAGGTCATAATTTATGCGAAAATGATAAGCAAACTTTACACGGATTATATCTAATAAACTATGAGATTCATCTCTTTATTTTGGGCATCCTTATAACAGATGGGTCCTTGCAAGTCAGCAAAACAATTTAGGGCCTTGTACATGCGCGCGATTTCGAGCAAAGCAAACATATAGAAATTATAGTTTTCGCTATTTGTTGACGTTTGTCAGCGTTTAAGAGTCAATCTCACGAAAAAAGCATTTTCTTAAAAATTCGTAGTTTTTTTCCTTCAAATTTTTTCAGGGCCACAATTGATTAACTAACTACCCGGACTCTGAATTTCATGTAATATATCAAACATGAGATGCAGTGTTTCATCACCAGATGAAACACCGAGAAGAGAGTTGAAAATACGACGCGCAGCGGAGTATTTTTGACGAACTTCGAGGTGTTTCATCTGGTGATGAAACACTGTGTCGAATGTTTGATATTTCTTCTCAAACAAAATCATTTTTGAAGGAGAAATTAAGGATGCAAATACTAAGCAGTGTTTGATCCGATTTCCAAACACTCATTAAACATTAATTTCCTTTGTATTTTCTTAATGAATTATTAATGAGTTTGAGAAGGTCATTGAAAAACTGTGACATTATCTTCTATAAGCCCAAACTTGAGTAAACACTGAAGATTTTTAGCGTTTTGGCTGAGTTTCTGCTTTGAGAGTTGTCTATTGTTTCTAGTCTGTCATGATACAGCATTCTCGGTTCAGCACGCATGCAATGACCGCGCTTGACTGACTTTCGAATGCTCACCGAGATATGATAATTTTGGGACAGTGAGACAGGCCATCGCGTGATAATACATAGAGGTTTAACTCACAATTTTTAATCAATTCTCGTGATTCTTGTGCCTTTGCAAAAAAATCAAGAAGTGCTACACACTAAATCTACTTATATACTATTAAAAAAATATCATTTCTTCACAGGTTTAATGCAAGCCAATAATCAAACCAACTCGTGGCGGGAATCCCTTCTATTTTCTTATACTAAATTATCATATCTCGGTGAGCATTCGGAAGTCAGCCAAGCGTGGTCATTGCACGCGTGTTGAACAAGACAACTCCCAAAGCAGAAACTCAGCCAAAACGCTAAAAATCTTCAATGTTTACTCAAGTTTGGGCGTATAGAAGGTAATGTCACAGTTTTTCAATGACCATGAAATTCAGAGTCCGGGTAGTTAGTTAATCAATTGTGGCCCTGAAAAAATTTGAAGGAAAAAAAACTACGAATTTTTAAGAAAATGCTTTTTTCGTGAGAAGGACTCTTAAACGCTGACAAACGTCAACTAATAGCGAAAACTATAATTTCTATATGTTTGCTTTGCTCGAAATCGCGCGCATTTACAAGGCCCTAAAGCGTTTTGCTGACTTGCAAGGACCCATCTGTAACTGTTATAAGGATGTCCAAAATACAGAGATGAATCTCATAGTTTATTAGATATAATCCGTGTAAAGTTTGCTTATCATTTTCGCATGTTCAGCGCAAGGCACTAATGCACACTATATGTAGCCGAGAGATTTTCACGAAAAAATGCCGGCAACAGCAGATTTTCGACTCAGACCTCAAAGGGGCGTGGTATTCTCGGCTTGCACTGTCACACAATGAAAAATAAAAATGCAAACCATTCAATACAGAAGGACTAGAATCTGGGAAATGAAAAAAGATAAAT